CTATTTTGGCATTTAGCAGAATTCCCTATAAAACATCTTTACCTTGTCTTTTTTTGCATAAAACTACTTTTGGCGATTTTAAGCAATATTTAATAATTATCTTTTTGAGCCTCAAATCTATACTCTTTATTTACTTTTGTAATAGAAGTATTCACTCTCAATGTTTCTTTTTGTAACAGTAAGTTTACTCTTGTTTCGCTTTTTCAAATAGATTGCATATTATATAATTGACTTATTATTTTCGTTTAAACTTTTTTTATGACCGTAATCAGCCAACACTCAGCTCATTTTTAGTCGACTCACACCATAACGACGGAGCCATCTTATTTCCAGGCTTATTGAGACTTCAAAATCGACGAAAGCTTAGTCTAATTTTGCGAAGTATACTTACTCGTATTGGACTTGGATTTGCCCGTGCCTTTGTTCGTCAGGCTTCTGGAAACATTCTCCCTGGCCCTCCTACTTTTATATCAACTAGCGATAGAACTACGGGATCTGCCTACAATGAACAAGCCAAACATAGTCCTCAGCTGGAAAGGTTGGTTAACCTTCTCCTTACCTGGCATCTTTCTCAGCCAATTGATCTACAGGAATCTAATGAGCAAGTAGAACTGCTTAAGCAAATACATAATGAACACGACAAGCCAGCTCAGCCCTGGTCCAGGTCTCAATTAGCTCTTCAAAAACTTGTTGCAAACCTTCTGCGCCTCTCTACTTCACCAACACCTAGTTTTCCAACTAAATCCCCTAGCGGAGAACTCTCCAGTTCTCAACCATATTCATTAAGCCCATCGGAACTAGAGGTAAGATAGTTAATAGCTCAAATCCTTATTTGATTATGCTTTCTAATACTATTCATATCCCTTTTGTAATTATTTTAAGTATAGGTTTCCATGACCGAGAGTTAATCACCAAATTTCTATTACGAAAAAACCTACTATGTCTTGTTAGTTAAACATGCATTGTGATCCAACCGCACTTAAACAAACAGTGGGGACTTGATATAATCGAATTTACATCATGCTTTTTATGATTATGACTTGTAGGGATCGTGATAAGTTAATAATTTGCTAAGACAATTCTTTAATTGCGTCACGGACTTCTCCGTTTTGATAACCTAGGGTGGCAAGGCGGCCTGTGTTTTCAGCATGGTATTACATTTTTAAATAATAATAGGCACATCGCGCGCATTCATCCATAAAGCCTTACATTGCTAAAGTAATGCGTTTATATTATTGTGTCATCACTACGATGCAGTTTTGTATCAATAACACGATCAAGGGCTTAGTTACAATGTGTTCCTTTCTTATATGTCCTCATTTTTCCTTATACATTTTTAGATTTCCAAACCAGTTTTTGCCATCTTTTTTTCTTCAGTTTGCCTGCCAATGCTTAGAAGAGAGCCTTCTTTGGATGCCATCCCACATTCCCCTTTCATTGAGGACTTCTGTCTCGCCTGTAGATCTATCCGATGATGCTTTTCTTCAGAAGAGAATTCCAAAAGGTTCTACCTTCGCTGCTTCAGCCTGTCCAGCCTCCGAACAGAAGTTTCCTCAACACGGATATCCTACTGATGTATATTCCTCTCTACCAACTGCGTCTGTTCTGACTTCCTCTGATGTATCTCCTTGTCTCCCAGCCAGATTGGCTCGTCTAGTTGAAATGGGATTTCCTCTCTCTCGTGTGTTGCTTGCTGTCGAGCTTATAGGTGGCCCTTCTAGTGAAGTTGTTATGGATTTTCTACGCACCCCACCATCACAAGGTAAGGATCGAGCAACTTCATCCTCTCTCATGCAGCTACCTTTTCGACTTCCACGTCTTGAAGAGATTCTTGATTGTCTACTACTTCTTCCTGACCAGGACAATTGTGCAGACCTTAATGCAAGTGATTTGAATTCTCATCAACTTACTCCGGAGTTTCAAGAGCGTCCGGTTCCTGAACAATGGGTACATTCTTCTAATGAAAACGGCGGAGTCGGAGATCAAGCTAATTGGGCAGTTAGGGACACTAATACAGAAGTCTTTCCCGACTCTAGCAGAGATGAGGTAACTAGTTTGAGAGACATTTTCAGAAATGAGACCTCTCGCACTTCGTCTCCTTACTCATCTCTGTCGCTATGCTCTATACAATCTAAGCATCGTAAAGGATCTTCCTCCGATTCTATGTCAGATAATATTCCTATTCGATCAGCCTCTGCCTATCAGTCTGATTTTCCTCACTCACCTACAGCCCAGTGTCTACCCGAATCCACGAATTTGCATATTGGTGACAAGGCGAGGATAATAGTGTCATCTCCGATTTGGGGTTGGTGTAAGGTCAGTCCCTTTTCTCTGACAATTTATTCGTACGTTTAGAATAAATTTGTTATGGTCACAATAGATCTACTTATTAGTTTATTATCTACGAAGCTAATTCATATCTTTAAATTTATTATATTACAGAAGGGCGACATGCCAAGACGATTAATGAGGATATTCTTAAATATTCTTAATGCATCTGTCTCCCTCGTCGATTTTTAAAATACATTATCAAACTATTCAGAGACCTGATGTATTATTGGAGCGTTTTTGAGGATTGCTTCAATTATCAAATAAGCCAGCATCATATATTTATCAAAAATCATATATTATAGAATGACATAAATGACTAGCAAAATAGATTTTTAAAATCTCTTATTACGGCCAGTCAATTAGAAATCATTAATGTGACTATTTCTTGAATTCGATTCATAGGAATATAGAACCCTTCTAAATTTTATTTTTAATAGGTAACTCCAGATAGCTGTGGATCAATTACAGGGATTTTTTCACTCAGTCGCCTGGAACCTAGTGAGCGGCTCTCTGGATATTTGGATTCTTTGTGTTATAAGCCAGTTTCGGGTCCAATAGCCAGTAATGAAACTGATTTCACTACGGGATTCTGCGAAGGAACTATTCAAGAGCACCTTGTTAATACACTCCAGAAGCTTGAAGCGTCCTTATTTCTAATTGTTCGAGTATGTTTATTTGTATTCAGCTTGATTTGTTTCCCCATTTTTTATTACTAATTATTAGTATGGAGAATTTTTCTTGGAGTTCTGATGAATTTTTATTTTTACGGCGCAGTCTTAATGCAGGTCTACACTCTCTAAAACGGTTTTTTGCTAATGAATTCACTATATACAGGTTATTTGCTCTACATTTTAGACCTGTCTTTCACAACATCCCCACTTCCCTATTGTTTTAAAATACCCTTTTCATCTGCCTTATTCCTTTTAAAGAGATTTAACTTATTGGTCCTTGGAACTCAAGAATCAATGTAGAGGTTGTTTGACCTTGTTTTCGCAACATGGTTATATTTGTAGGAAGACTTATTGGAACGCACCTAGTCCGGGATCCATTGTATGCATGATCATTTCCAAAGTTGAACCGTAGACGTGGTTCATGATCATGCAGACAATGGACCCCGGACTAGGTGCGTTCCAATAAGTCTTCCTACAAATATAACCATGTTGCGAAAACAAGGTCAAACAAC